TCTGGCAGCGAAACGATTGAAAAAGTGCTACGTCATCGAGCCGGATATCCGGGTGCAACTGGCGCTTCCACAACGCTCTACAATGTCGAGGACCGGGGCGACCCGAACGTTAGATTGGGCGGTGAGTGAATAAGTTTTTACTAACTCAGAAATAGCGGCAACAAACAACCTTTTTCAAAAATCTCAGGTCTTAAGTCGCTTTTGCAAGCCTAGAGTGAGGAAAGTTACAGTACTGAAAACTTAAATGAAGATAATTGGCTAACGCATCGTATGCCGATGTGAAGATGCGTTTTTTTTTTTCATAGCTCCCCGCAAATTTTTGTCGCTACCGGCACCGGTTTTTCCAGTAAATGCTAAACAAATTAAGACTGGCCACCAGGACTGTCAGGAAACACTCCCTTTAAATTTCAGCTTTCTAGCTTTGCTGGTTCCCAAGTTAGCAACTTACCCGCAAAAAAATTCACAGGCCTGTACACAGGAACGATATACGCACGGAGCCTGAGTTTGAGCTCATTAACACCTACGTAGACGGGGAACGTCACCTTAAAATTACAGTTCTCCATCGTCTCAGGTTCGCGAGTTAGCAGCTTTACAGAAAAAAACTTTCACTGGCCCGTGCGTGCACGTAGATTAAGTTACCAAAGTTTCAGCCCTGTAGCTTTTGTAGGTCTTGAGATGAAAAATCGATACAGACGCACACACAGACAGACACACACAAATAACCTTTCTGCACTGCATAGATGCAAAAAACGCATAAAAATTACAGTCCACCTTCATCTCGGTATTTCTTCCCTATAGTTATGATTACAAAAAATTTGAATGTGCAGATTTTAACTTTATACAAGCTAGCATAAAGAACAGTACTAGTTTTAGATGCTAGATCTACAGGCACTGTTTCAGATACTTATTTACGGCTGGGTTTTTCTCAAGAAAATAGTTGGTAAATTCGAATTTCAGTGAACAGTACTTGAAAGTAGCGTGAATGATATCACTTTGCCAGCAGCAACCACTCACTGGCCAATACTTTCATTGATTTTCTAACCGTTTCTTAGAAGCTGAAAAAGTCCTTATTTCTGACATATATTGGTACCATTTTTTTACCCAAGCAAGTGAACGGATGATATAGAAGTTTCCTACCCTGGTTGTTGTGAACTACAACGCTACTTGCCATCATCAGAAATTAAGATTGGGTTGCGTAAGGTAGCGTTTGATCAGAATAAGTATTGAGTTTCAATTCGAATTGTTTTGTTTGTTTCAGAAGCTGGAAGCAATGCGGAACTGGAGCGCCAGTATCTGATCAAATGGCTGGGATGGTCACATTTGCATAACACATGGGAATCGGAGAATAGCCTGAAAGCATGCAACGCAAAAGGACTGAAAAAAATTGACAATTACATGAAACGTTTAAGAGAAATTGAAGAATGGTAAGGAATCCACAGAATTTTTATTGTTTCGAGTTAATGAAAATATCTTCTTTGAGAGGGTGGGTGGTTGGGCAGGAAGAAGAATGGAGGTATAAATTGGGGAAGTATTGCATCTTATAGTTCCTTACTTCCCTCTTCTCGTGCAAATTAATAACATTTTCCTTCTAACGTAACGAAATGGAGCACTGTACTGATGATTTCCACCCTATTTCGCACCGATTCTGCCATCTGCGTTTACAACTCAGGGATAAAATACAGATAGGCTGCCAGGTCACATTCAGGCTTGCTTATTTGGGAGATCTAAATGGCATTTTTAGTATTTTCATTAACTGTCGAAATTCGACTATGTTCCTCTTCATGGTGGGTCAGCAACGCCAGATCAACTGCATATGTTAACGCATAAACGATTTCAGGCTCCCTTTTTCTCTTCCGATCTCCTAGCCAGAGATATTCTCTGTTTTTGTCCGTAAAATTTCTATAACACTTAGAAAGTCCATCTGTTAAATAGAAAATTCAAAGTTTTTTTTCATCGTATAAATTATGGAATACAGCTCAGGGTCCTAAGGTATCTCATCGTGATCTAAGTGTGTTAGGGTTCAAGACTGGGTAAATGATATAATTAACACACACACACACACACAACACACACACACTAAGGACATCTCGAAACGGCTAAAATCGAGCCAGTTGGTTCGAAGGAGAGATCCACCTGGCTGATACTCTTCTTCGGAGTCCAGCTACCAAGTCACTGCACATACAAAAAGCACACATCGGAATCGTCACTGGGCTGACCACCGGGTGAAGCATTGGTCAGAGAAATTGGAAAAGTTGCCAGTTGCATATTTGATGAAAAAGATTGTGAATTGTCATCATATGTAAAGGAAGAAAAGTGCTTTCCACTTCGCCCTGACCTGTGGCCTTCACATAGCAAGTCTTGTAGCTGTAAATAGAAATATATCCGTTTGGATGATTTCTGAAGTATCGTATTTGCGTTTCCAAGGGCGGAAGTGCCAGCTGAAGCAAAAAATTTATGATTCTGGCGTGCCTGCATTTGATCTAAGCCTTGCTCGTGAATAGCAGCGGAACTTCGGACTGGCTATCATAATGGGTTTGGTAGCCTCCATTTTTCTTATTTTTGATGTTATTATTGTTATTACTATTATATCATTATCATTATTATTTCTGTTGCTATTATTGTTATCATTATCATCATTATTATCATTATCATTGTTATCATTAGTATTATTATTACTGCTACTATTATTATTATTATTTATTATTATTATTTATT